GCAAACATCGAAAAATAAAACTATCAAGTTTTTGCGAAATACCTTAACAGGATGTTGGTAAATGACAGTCTAAAGCATCCTGTAAAATTATGGCACCTGGTATACTGTCATTTTCAAGAAAAGTGGTATTTTTGTATCAATTTCCAACGCTGATCGGCCGATCAGCGTTGGAAACAACTGGCTTTTTTTCAAATACTGGCCCCAATTGACCATTGCACTTGTTTGCAATCGATTACAAACCTATAAACGGGTACGAGCCAGCTAGACTGGTTCCCTGACCTTACAATTCCCCCAATGTATGTAAACTGCTCTGTTTCTTCTTATATGGAGTCAGGGAACCAGACTACAGGAAAATGATCGTTTTTCTTGGTTTTTATAGCATTTTCGAACCCAAAACCTCCAAAAAGTTAGTGTAACTATATTTGCTTTATATTTCCAACCCCCAATTCCACCCATTTCTGAAAATTACAGCAAAAGCAAATGATGTATATTCCCTTTAAACTAAATGTTCATTTTTGGTCATTGAAAAGAAAGCTCCTTATTATTCAATCACGTATTGACTCAACGCTCACATAGGAGTATACTAGAGCTAGCAGTAAAAGGTTTTAAGGCATCGCATTTCAAAAATAAATCATATCAACCAAAGAAATTGTCATTTTAGACGATGGGACACATTTACGTCATTTTTGAGTAAATTTTTGCGCATGGTTAATGTTTTTAATTAGGATTTGTGAATTAATTCGTTTCTTCAGATCCGACAGGATGTTAAAATGTTATTAGATTCGAAATTATTTTAACCTTTAAAATTAAATGCATGCCTTACTGCATCAGCTGTTAAAAGAGAAACAGTATCCTCAAATACATTTACCACGGTGACTAATTTTTCCCTTGAGACGCTTGAAAAGTATATGATTTAGAACCTGCATGAGGTCAGACACCTGACCCTATAAGCCTCGGAGCCAGACTGTACCCCGTGGTTGTATTTTAGGGGTGGGACTTCTGGTTCAGTGGCTTTCATAGATTTTTTTTCAAGTTTTGCATGACTGTATATACGACTGATGCATGTTCCATTCTTGTAATATCAAACAAAATCAGGTCTAGAGAAATTGTAATTTGCCAACAGATTCAGTCTCATTGCCCCTTTTAGTCTGAAATGTCACAAACACAAGAAATTGTAACTGCTTCATTGTATAATTAGATTTAGTAGCAGTTTTGTATGCCGACATGCACATTCTTTTCCCTTGCTTCTCATAATTGTATAAATTTCATAAATATCACTAATGTTTGATTCAATCAAGTAAATGTGGATTTAGTGTCGGTTAGACCATGGAGCTATATATCTCCATGGTTAGACACAGACTCGCATAGTCCTGTTGTGACTGTGAAACGACAGTTTGTCACTCAAGGTACAGGGCCTGCAATTCACACGAGAAGCCTTGTCGATCATCAGTAATCAGCTGTCGTAACCACAGCCTTAAGACCGAAAACAGCCGTTGGCCCTGTCCAGCGCGCCTACCTGTTGCATACCTTACCGTTTACACACCGCCCGACCTTTGAGGGTATCCCACGACTTTACCATGTCTCCAATTTCATGAGTCACCACTTGGCATACAGCTTTGCTATTGTATTTAGAAAGCTCCACCACAGGGAAATCCAGGGTTCCATAGCGCCCCATGCACTGTTTCTGATTTCAAGATAATAATTGGATAAAAGGGAGTTTCTAAAAGGTAAACTGAACTACAATGACCTCCTCTTGATTCGTGAGATGGGTGCACTTATGGTAGCAGACCAGTAAATAAACTTCCATAGACCCTAATGGTAAATGCTCACACTTCAGAAATTCGGGAAAAATACTCACAACTCTCCAAGGTGTTCAAGACACACATCAAATTAAAGCTTATTTCATCATCTTTCATTTTCTTGTCAATTTTCGGGGGGTTAACTTATGACTTTTAGGAGAAATTTCCATCCGAAGATGATCACCCCTAAAAATAGTCCTGAAGCCCATCGCCATGTTGAAAAACGATGCCTACACTCCATTGCAAAATAGAGCGCTTTAAGGGCCCAAAATTCATCCAAATTGAACGGAACTACAAGCTCACAGTCCTGTGCACGGCTTCCACCCATATTTTTTACAAACCCTCAAGTTCATGGCCCACAGCATGCTCAAATACTGAAGATTTTGAGGGCATGCAAATCGTGACTTGGCCGGCGCAGGCAATTTCGGACCGATTTACTGGCCTGCAACCTTATGTGATCGCATCCTCTGGCAAGACTTTGTGGTTGATAAGCATTTCAGAGTAGGCCTAGCCTATTGACCATTATCATGTTGTGGCCATCTCATTTTTTCCTATTCAAATCAACGTAAACCAAAGCGAAGCTGGAAGGAAAAATAGTCTTGTTCCTGATTTTTGCACAAAAAAAACCAGTATCATTAGATACAGGGAACATGACTGAAATGGTGGCAGCATGATAAAGGTCTATATTCGTTCATCAAGAAATATTGCTGGGAGTCCATGATTCTAATTTTTATGAACTTATGCCTTTATTACATTTGAATAAAGAATACTTTCAAACAAGTGTAAGAAGTTAGACGAGGCAAGCGTTTCGAGTTGGCGCAAGTATAGGTCTACAGCTCAAAAAAAAATCCTATTTCAATTGAGGGGTAATCTTAATAGAAGACATATTTCTCCTCAATTAACTGTACGTTTTGAAAGTTCACTCTTCATTAGTAGTAGTTTCTTTTCGAAAAGATTATCGATGAAAATATAAATCAAGAGAAATCTAGAATAAAGCAAGCTTCTCGAATGCAATCATTAACCTTCAATTAGTAGACTCCGTATTTTTTTCAGACTTTTTAAACGGAACTAGTTCCATTATCCTTCAAGCTCGGAAGTTTTTTCACTACTGCGCTGCGCATGCGCTGTGCAAGTGCATCACGGGTAAATAATGCAGGTTCATTCTTATCATCATGATTCATTTTCATGTGATTCTGGCGCTTTGGGTAGTATTGTGTCAGAGATAAAACAAATTTCCAGGGGGTACGGATGCGTTGACCCTCAACTGAACCAAGGAAGTTAGTGTGGTCAGAGCGTCCCGAGGCCGGCTGAACGGGACGGTACTATTTCCATTCCCTTCCGGTCAAATTAGCGTCTGACAAGACTCGGTCAAAGGGAAAGACAATGAGAAAATGTGACCTCGTCTACTGTTATAGTTCTACAGCATTGGTCGATTTGATTTTTTTCAGCATCAAAACAATACTTGCAGTAATCGTAACCAGCCCACCACCGGAGTTTGAATTTCGCCAAACGCAGGCAGTTCGGAGTCTGCGCGTAATCACATGATTTAATATCGGATATCATAATTAGCCGGAGGCCTTATTTCTGCCTGAACGCCCGTACGTATTGTTTATACTGCCCTCTCGCGATGCACTGCAGTAGTGCAGCTATTCTGGAAATTAACGGCAAACGTAAGCTTTGTAAAAGAGGGCGCACTTCGTTTCACCTTCGCCGCGCCGCTTAGCATGGCAATTCGAGGGACGTTTGCTGAAAATGCTTAGAAAAAAATATTGTTTACATTGTCACTGTTTTTATGTACGATGAATTCCGTCTCTGTTAATGTTTACACATTGATTAACAAGCTCCAACGAGAAGTTTCAACATAAAAATTCAGTTTCAAATAGAAGTTTCGTCAAGGTCGATCCTCAGTGGATGAACATTGATTGCCTAATTCAGCCGGTTAATTAAACACTACATAAATTATTCTGTCTTTACATTACGAGACTTACATTTATATTTATGTATCTGTTGACTACTTGGTGGAGTTCACATGTATTGAAAGTTATATTCCTCAGGGTTCTTAACTAGCCCGCGGGCATTTTTACTCTTATAGAGTGTCCCATAAACAACAATGCGCATACATCTAAAACGTGTATCCTGAAGCAATCTTGTCAGTGTTTTGAATAACAGATCTAATAATTTAACCGTAATCAGTTAATACAATTAGACACAAATTGATACAGGTTTGCTTTCTGAATGTATTGATTTATTTCTTTTTGTCTTTTCATCTTTGCCGTAGCCCAATAATAATTTTTGACTCGCCAGCCGGGCTACTTAGGAATAGGCCTAGTTTGACTATAGCCCGCTGCAGTTTTGACTCATTTGGCTAGCGGGCTACCGCTCAAGTCGAACCCTGTATTCCTTCTTTCCAGATTAAAAATTCTGGCAGCCCGAAACAAGTCAAGCTTTTATTGCTACTTGGTCTCCTGCAGACTTCGGAAATAGACTCGACGGGACGCCATACTCGTTTTCCATTGAGTGAGTTACCTGATCCAAAAAAGGACCAACTAACACTATGGGGTTTCTATAGTACACGCTGTTGTATGACTATAGATTGTGTCATATTTAATATCCCCCCAATATAGTCGTAGACTTGACCCAAGTCGGAAATAATGCGTGGTGTTTCCCGCAAGACAGCGCATCGAAGTGTATCTATTTGATATCAGAGTAACAGCGCCCTCCAGCGTAAAGTATGATGACGGACATCACAGATTTTTGGTCAGTCGTGAAAGACGATTATTATAAAGGAAAAGTCGAGCGAAAAAGAGGCGTCTCATTTTCATTTTCATGAAATTCAAAGACAGAAGGTAGATGTCTGAACACTTTACAAACCCTAATCCAGACAGGGATGGCCCACAGTTACCACTGGTCCCAAAACTGCGAACATTGGCACCCACGTACGTCCCCGCGCATCAGCAAAAACTACTATCTTGTCAGAGTCAGGAGCAATTCCTTGACAAACTTCAAAACCTGCCACGAAAAATATCAGTGATTCGCAGCATTCACCATCAGCAGTTGTGAACTTTGTAAACTAATCGGTTAACTCAGGGTTAAAGGTTATTCAGTATAGGTCACAGAAGCTCATTCATTTGTCAAGGCAAGAAACGGTCACGTGACTGAATAAGCGTCTGACAGGATAAGCCGAGATAATACATGTATGTCTACAGGGGACTGCACTGGAGAAGGCATCAGTCACAATTAAATCCATTATTCTGCAATAATCAAGATCTTGGCTAAATAAATTGTAACAACTCCCTAATCCCTGCCGACCTCGGCCGGTGAATAGCGCAGACAAGGCCGGCCTGACTTCGCCTGGAGGAGAGGGCATTACACGGGGGACGACAAGTCGCACTTTCCGCTGTGGTCGGAGGAACAAGTGGCATTCTCGATGACTTTCAGTTTTGTCAGACACGTGTAGAGTCTGTCAGGAGTAATCTGTGATCTGTTACTGGACTTTATGTCGACATTTTGAGTTTGTAAGTTGCACTGGATTGTTGCAGCAGGGGTGAAGTCCTTCAAAAGTTCGTTTCGTCTTGCGGAAAAAAACAGAGGAACTTGATAACCTAGTATTTTGGTGTCTCGAGAATCGGGGATGGAGCTGAGAACTGTGTTTTCACTGACGCTGCTACTCCTGCTCGTGTGTGTGCATGAAACGGCTTGTGGGAAGAACAAAAAGAAGAAACGGAAAGATAAGGAAAATCTGCCAAATGTTGCCGTGAGTACATCACTTCATGATCACCTTTCAGTGATACGACTTCTTAACGTTCACGAGCCCGGTGAAGTGTTTTTAACTAGTGGTTCTTTATTTTGCTTTTGTTGTTTGAAAAATTTAGATTATTTGTGGTTCTCGGTTTTGTATTTCTCATTTGAAAATATAGATTTCTCAATTTCTTCCAATTATGAACGAATCTACAATATTTCCAATCGCAGGTTTTCCAGGGAGTTATCGCCTCATGTGCTAGGCCCTTTAGTTCTTATCTTGGTACAGGAAAACCACGTTGGCAGACGATTGCTACATGTCGAGGGCATTGATCTCTGTGCATGGAAATGAAAATTGCAATTAGGTCTAAGTTCGTAGTAAGTGGAGGACGAACATTTTTAAAAAAATCTTTTGTATCAATAACCGATGAACTATAATTAAGATTAATTAGTTAATTATCTATGTGCATGTTTCAAAAGTTGATATAAAGATAATTAGATTATCGGTGTCGCAACTTGCATATTTGGGTGAAGGTTGAATGCAGCTACGTGTTATTGGGCACCGTACGTGTTTATTTGTTTGCGTGTGACTAGCCAAGGTCTTCAATCACACAACGGTAAACATACAAGTGCTTGCGAGTAAACATGTCAGCGCTTTTACGACACGGCCGAATCATTGCTGTTACAGTGACTGACAGTGTTTGATAATATTTACCGCTTGGTGTCAAGACAAGGCAAGGCAATGCTGGTACCAGAGTGCACAGAATTCTATTCAAATGAATCGGAACGGCAAAAAAAAATATAAATGTAGTGATACTGATAATGGTGTACAGGTGTATATGGAAACAAAAATCAACTTCGCCGTTTTGGATGGTGACTTGACTTATTGCCTGCAATGTATAATGAAGTACATAAAATAAGCGGCGCCAGACTAATGCACACTGCTGTATATTGCTGCATAATATACATGAAAAGTCACGAATAGCAAAATAAAAAGTCTCTTCCTTCCAGACTTTTAAAAGTCACAATTAGCCGAGGTGACAGTTAGTCACTGTGATAGGTAACCAGTCTATTCACAAGGGACAGTTAGTTGTTAAGTGAGATCAAGCGCGGATCCAGAGGGGGGGGGGGGTTTGGGGGTCAACCCCCCCCCCAGCTATGTCAAAATGTTGTTTTTTCGATAGAAATCCGACACCCCAAATGTTTTTGCTAGTAATAATGTCCTTGCCTTGCACAAAATACGTACAGAGACAGCTTGGTTAGGGGGTATACGTACATTATTCTGTGATATAGTGTTAATAATCGTCCCTATTGAAAGTATAGTACGAGCCCCCCCCCCCTTTTTTTGATTTACGGAGGCCAAGTGTCCGGAGAAAAAAACCTGTCTACATTTCAGATTTTTTTCCGATAAAAACCCCACCCTGCGAAAATTACTGGATCCGCCCCTGGTCATATATTGAGTCAGTCTGCAGTCAGTCAGTCGAGTTCAGTTAATCAGTCATGTACAAAGCAGACACGTTGGGGCTAGCAAAAATGAGCCGTTTTGCAGCGCATATGATTGCAAATCACTCCATTCTATCTGAGAACATTTCAACGGAATCTTATTCACAAATCGATTTGGCTAAACAGCAAACAAAAGTATTCCATTCTCAGCAATTTTATGTGAAATTGGCCCCCGATAGAGCGCTGTAACTTGACCACTGCATGATTGGTGTTTTCTGTGAAACTTTCACTTTCGACATACCGCAAGTAATAACTAGTTCCTAAGTAAAAAGAAATCGACAAATAAGCTGTTGCCATTTTCCTGAGAAAAAAAACAACCTTGTAATTATACGGACTGATATTTGCCACACAATCTCCCTGGTGTGTTTGAACTGGTTTCCGATCGTCTTTGCTGGCCCGTGCTGGGACGGCATTCTACTCCAACCATCCTCGCCAAACTGACCCAGTTGTGATCGCAGAGGGTTGTCTCCTTAACAGATCGTGGGAAAGGTCTCTTGGGACCAAAGACTATCGCACTTCGTCGTAACCCTGGCCTACACAAGTTCAACCGCAAATCGAAAGACCTCATGAGATTTGACAAGACGTTCCTGGGAAAAGATATCACGTTTAAATTGAATTTCGAAACATGCCTCAGTCAAGTTCATGATATAAATGATTCCACAACATTAATTGTTAAATCAGCTTTTTCAATGTCCTCACTGTTTTGTGAAGATAAAGAACAGAACACGAGTTGTTGTTTCTTTCACGCCCATTTCTGCTCGGACGAAATCGATTCACGTTGCTTTTAGTTGACCAACACCCGAAAGCCATGCTTCAGCTTGGTACACTTTTCTCAATTATGGGCGTACAAAGCCGGTAAACACTGGGTAGGCATTACATTCACTGTGTGGACTTCCGAACAAAAGAGGTTCACATAAACCAGGTAGAGGCGACGTTGTGTGGACTTAGGCAAGTCCACACAGTGTTTCCCCATTTCTGGAAAACACTAGCTAGGATTTTTTTTTGAGTGGGGGGGGGGGGGGGCACAGGGGGCATCAGATTGGGGCACATATCGCAAACATACTATTGCAGTCTTTCCCAGTTGGCCCCATAATGCCTCGCTATATCCATTGACATAAGAAATCGTAAACAGTAAGGCTTTGGCTAACTGAAAAAAAAACATTTTTGGTTGGGGAAGGAAAAGGGCCATTATCAGGAAAATTTGTGGGGGGCACCCCGTGGCTTCGCCACTGCTGAGCTTGGCTTTGGCTGTATTCGCCGGTTCAAAAGTGATTTGAATTTATTTAGCTCAGTCGCTCGAGATGAATTTCTCTTTAACTTGGCATATGTAGCAAGATATGTGACACAGGGAACCCCACCTCTTTTTTTTGTTGGTCATTGTGTTTGTGTTGGTCATTGTGTTAACAGCATCTAAGGGGTGCTAGGTAGTATAGTCTAGGGTGTGTATATGACTATAGGGACAAGGGGGAAAGACCCGTCTGTCACAGATCGTGCTGGGTCACAACTTGGCACATTCCGTCCTTGTCCCCAGAAAGCCAGAGCCATACATCAACACTTCAAACTATTTGACCTTCCTTGCACCACCCCTGGGCTATTTTGCTTGGTACAGCATCACCTCCATCTATGACGTCACAGTTACCCTACTACGACTTCCCCAACAATCATACTTTTGTTGGACAAAAAACGATTTGGACAGTATTGCGAGACCGCGCTGTTTAGGGATAAGAGCTCCCCTAATGGGCTTTTTGGCAACTCATTAAGCGCCCAACCTTGGCAGGGCTTACCTAAAATATGTTGGTCGTTCACTTGTACGATGTCTTGAACAATCGTGAGCCCTTCGCCCTTGCGTGACCGGATCTTGAGACTCGATGTTTGTTTGCGTCTATCCTTCACTCGAAGAGTCATAATGTTAATCACCACCTCCCCCGGCGTACGCGTAGCGGGCGAGGCGAAGCCTCGTACTTGTAAACGAGGTTTAATGACACTTGTCGTTGACCGACTTTCGACAATCGATTACCCATTAACGTAACGGTTCATTAATGTAACTGTATGAATGGAAAATGTTTCCATAGATGGAAACAATGTATTTGCGTCTAAACATCATAACCTCGGTATTTATTTCATTCATCTTCTATAATTTGTTCGATCTCATTCTGGTATAGTCACTGGCAAAAACCCCATAACATAGAAAGGCACGTGATTTGTGAGTAACACCCTATAATTTGAATTGAGATTACTCCCCCTCCCTTCCCAACACGCCCCCTGCTTGGGATTTAGAGAAAGTACAGCTTTTTATTGTTTGAAGCTCAATAAACCGGGGAGTGTGCATGGCCCATATGGTAGGGTTCGAATCCAACTGCTGGCCCTATGTTGTGTCCTTTGGCAAGCCACTTCACCCCCACTTGCCCCTCTCCACCCAGGAGCGTAAATGGGTACCGGCATTAGCTGGGGAGTAACCTGCGATGAACTAGTATCCCATCCAGGGGGATTCGCAGTCGTTTCATGCTAAGGAAACCATATTGGCTAGTGACAGACTTTACTTACATTAAGTGCCTAGTTCCCACCTACTATAGTTGGACCCTTGTTTCAACTTGGTGGCATTTTCTGGCTGGTCAATGAATTGCCATGATGAAGCCGGCCTAAAAACGGGACACAATAATAATACAGGTTTCACTTGAAGTAAGATGTGGTTTGGGAATTCCTTTACGTTTTTGAACATATTAAAACGAAACAAAAATACATTTTCTGTATATCTTCTTGATTGTATGTGAGTCCTCTTGCAGTTGTCTGATTTCAGGTGTATTTTTTAATGGCATCATACATGTGTGTGTAATGTTCCTTTATGCCTAAAATTTCAGGTAAAGATGCCAGAGTCAACTTACATCCTTGATAAAAGAAGCGAGCGGATGGGATATTATAGCTTCACATCAGACAACCAAAATCTGTCAAAACATGCAAGAGATCAACCCAGTTATTATTTCATCAAGTAACAAATCAATTCAATTAATTAATAGATTAATAAATAGTTTTATTTCGGCTCATTTTGCAGAGTTACTTGGTGAAGTACGGCTACGTCGCCCAAGGCCCCGACGGCGCACCGAGCAACCCGGCCGATATACCGCGGGCAATCAAGTAAGTTTTACCCCGTCCAGTTTGCTGTCTTTCTTTGGGTTTCGTTAAATTAATTGGACAAAAAGATCCTCATGAATTATCGTTGGGCTGAAATAATTCCAATTTTGTTGAGGTAATAATTCCATAACTAAACGTGTGCAGGAATGTTCGTCCTCTCTCATTCAAAAGTGTATGACTTTTATATTGCTTGAACACTAGAAATTTAAAAACAAATTCGGTTTAGGGTGCAATTAGAAGTTAGTTCAGGGACAAGTTCATACATGCACATAATACCTATGTCCCAAACTCCCCCACTTTTCGAAATACTTACATATCTGAAATATGTCAGAATTTTCTCCATTATGCATCACCCTCTTGCAGGGGCGGATGATTGCCTTTCAAACTGGGGGAAACTACAACAAAAAGGGGCACTTGCTCAGAAAAAAGGGGCAACTTCCGTCGGTGTGAAAGTGGAGGAAAAGAATATGGTCCCATTCATTTCGCTATAAACCTATATGACGAGGAACACATTATGAATACGTTGTCCATCTTGCTCCTTGTGTTTCTTTTACCTAGTTATAGAGAGGCCATTATGTTTTTATCGCGAGAGGGGTCACTGGTGCTTTTGATGGCCAGTTCAGTGACCGTTTTATTCGCGTGAAGTGCACTATTATTTTTAGGGGCCAGTTTTCCATCTTGAGAGGGGGCACAATTTTAACATTGCGAGCGGGGCACTAATGTGCTTTCGAGGGGTAGTTTTCAATCTCGAGAAGGTGCACAATCTTGCGAGAGGGGTACTTGCGTTTTTGAGGGGCAGTTTTGCACTACAAGAGAGAAGACAATTTTATTTCTAGCGCGATCATATGCTTCCATACGTGTGCGTTTGAGGGGCAGTTTTGTTTTCATCTCGAGGGGGCGCACTTATAACCACAAGAGGGGCACTTTTGTTGGCATTGGAAAATCTGGGGGGGGGGACAATTCCCCTCCCCCTGCGCCCCCCTCCCCCCTCCCCCCCCCCACCGGTTCCTCCGCCCCTGCCCCTTGTCTTCGAAACAAATTCATATCTTTGCTACCGTCTTTTGTTTAGGACGCTGCAGAAGTTTGCCGGCATTCCGGAGACGGGGATCTTAGACGATGCGACGATCGAGCTGCTGAGCAAGGAGCGATGCGGCGTGGAGGATATCATCGGCTCGGCTAAGATGCAAGCCAAGCTGCGGAGGGGATCAGAGCCGGGATTCAGTCGATACAGTACCACGGAAAGAGAGAAGCGATATAACATTGATGGTGGGTTTTACCGTTGTGGTAACTTGCTCTTTTTTATCAATATCATCGAGAGGTCTTTCAAACCTCGGTTTGTTTTGGTCTCAGGTTTCCCTTCTTTAGCCTTTAGCTTCGTTATGTTCAGGCCTTTGAATGTAGGCTCTTCGGCTCCATGTAGCTCAATGTGTGATGTGAGACCGACGTTTGGTATTTCCGTTTAATTCCATGTCTTTTCCAAACAGTTTTGTTCCCGAGATAAAACCACAAGGCCGAGATTATTAGGGTGCAGGAATTTTACGGTGCGCTGTGTCATAGTAATAAACCTCACATTAAAATTCCTAAGACTTATAATGGTAACGAAATATCCATATTTGAATTTTACCGTCTCGGTGTAGGCCTACTGACTTAGCAGTTAAGAGTAATGTCATCTTAAATAAGGCGGTACAATTATAGTTCGCTGTTTCAAATCCAAATCAGACATTTGTTTGTTTAATTTAATAAGGAAATAAATGTGTTCTGCGTGATGTGGCGCAGAACGCAGCTGTGCCGGTGTTTTGTGAATTTAGGACTATGAAATGCTGATTCACTGGTAGTGTTGCGCATGCCCACGTTGGGATTGTGAACGTTCAACCAATAAAACGGTAAAGGCACCGGATTTTAGTCCAAATTTCATGTCACCCTGGAAAAGTGTTTAAAACCAGCCAGTCGGTCTTTATCATCCATTTAAATCCTGCCACGTGCGCGTGACGGGCTCTCGATCAGTAGGAATGGCTAAACTGTATTTATGAATATTGATTAAACGTGGAATTAGTCAGTTTCCCATTGCAATTTATTTTATTTCAGTGACTTCATTATAACTACAACCGTACTAAGTTGATTATCTGCGCCAGCAATCCACGCAATACTGTCTCTCAAAAAAATTGGACAATGTAATTTTCATTAAGGCCTGCACAATCGTTTAATTTTAATTGTGTAACTTGAAATCTCGCACACAGGAGGGAAGTGGCGCCAGACCAGTCTGAAGTATTACTACGAGAGCTTCGCTGAGGATATCAGCCGCAACGACATGCGGGAGGTCATCAGCCGGGCATGGAAGGTCTGGTCTGACGTCACCCCACTGACCTTTACCGAGGTTGGGGTCAAGTCGCAGGCGCACATCATCATCAAGTTCTCACGGGGTAACCATGGCGACGGGGAGTACGCCGCCTTCGACGGCCCAGGTGATAATTGTTGGGGAAGTTTGTGCTCCCTAAGGGGCACATTTCTCACGCAGTGCCAAAGCTTCTGCATTGGTATTGCACCAGTTGTCACTGTTGATCCTTCTACAATACCCTTAGAAATAGTGGCTTGTTGCAGGAAGAATTTATCGGAAACACAATTTGCTCCTGATCTTCGACTTTTTCCCTTCTTAGAAAGAGATTAGTGGATGACACAATGTGACTGTCAACCTCTTCTGTGAAGAGGCAATTGGTTTTGATAGAACAGGTTGTTAAAGTTTTTGACGCTTTCGGGCAGTATTTGGCATTTTCCTAAAGACAGAGTTTTGTTGTCCGAAATGACGAGAAAACACTCTAAAAACAATCAACATCTCTTCAAAGAAGATACTGATTGTCACAATAAGTCGACCACAATCTCATCTTACATGTAGTAATAATTTGCCTATGCAAACCTCACACCCCAAAACGGCATCGTTTTCTACGGCTACGACTAGGCTATTCAACGTAACTGTCTTATGGCGAAAACTGAAGCCGTAGCCTTATACTTTTCCTCCCTACATACCGACTCCAGGAGGCACCTTAGCCCACGCCTACTTCCCGGAAAACGGCGACGCCCACTTCGACGAGGATGAAGAGTTCTCGGTGGCGTCCACTGAGGGCGTCAACCTGTTCATTGTGGCCGCTCACGAGTTCGGTCACAGCCTCGGTTTGGCTCACTCCAGCGAGCAGGGCGCCCTCATGTACCCATGGTATCAAGGCTACGTGCCGGATTTCCAGCTGCCCCAAGATGACATCTTCGGCGTACAGCAACTATACGGTGGGCATACACATCCTCGGCCGGTATTCTTGAATTCTGCTAAGCTTGAGATAAAGTTCAGTAAAAAAAAAAAATACGTTAAGTAAGTATTGTGCAGCATAGCACCAATCAATCACGTGATGCTAGACCCGAAGGAAAATTTAAAGATTAAGATATTGACGCAATATTCAACATCAAATGTCACGACTCGTTGCTAGAATCAGGTTCGGCAACGTCAAATTTGACAACAACAAAAACATTGCTGTCGGACTCCAGTCCCGACTCGGACTCGACTCCGGACACGGACTCGACTCCGGTCTCGAGTTCATTTGTTTTGGACTCGTAACTCGACTCGGACTGGTAGCCCTTTGGGATCGGCTTAGCCCGGACTCGGCTAGTGGCTGACTCGGACTGTCTATCGGACTCGAATCGAGTCAATTTTAAAACAACTGTGTTTAAACTGGATAAAAACATTAAAAATCATTTTGTTTAACTGTCCCTTGTCTGTTATCTGATCACTTTTAACTCTTGCCTGGGAAAAGCTCCTTTAGATACCACTGTACTCGAAAATCACTGTATTCTCAGTATACTCATGCGGGCACGTATTCTGCTATAAAATCATTTCGTGATAGGCTCGGACGTGGGACTTGAGAGGGACGCGGACAAAATTGGATTCGGATTCGAGCATTCCCGGACTCGGCTTCGAGCCTTCGTGGACTCGGCTTGACTCGAATGAGGTGGACTCGACTTCATCTCTGCACAATAATTGCAGCTTGGGATAAAGCCGTTTATGACACGGCGATGTCCCGTCAGGGCCACCATATTAACATTAAGTGTATACATAAACATACTGTTAAAAGCCATTTGAAACTATACGCGAAATGCGAACTTGAAGCGACTTTGAAGTCAATGAACTGCGTTCAATTTCGCAAAATCGCTGCTCGTACACAAAATAATCGTTCTCGTTGGCTTTCGCGCTGAAAATGAACCGGTTCTTAAGTTCGGGTCACACTTCAGGCAAATGCGATTGCAGAGCGAAATTAGCATAAAAATCGCGCCGATTTTTACTGGAGTTGACGGTAGTACGATTGTTGAAAAATCGCAGGGCAAATGTTTTCCGTGACGTGAAATGTTCACAGCTTAAAACGCCAGTCCAAATGACACATTTTTCACGTTTATGTCACCAGGCAAACCCCAAGTGGACAGACCAGGGACACCAATGGATGGCGGCGATGGTCCCCGCATCAAGCCGGGTCGCCCCAATGCGTGCACCAGCGATTGGGATGCAGTTACCATGGGTGAGTGTTGCTATGGACATTTCGCTGGTTCCTGCATGCTGTTCACCATAAATTACGTTTACCAGCGTACATGACTGGCAATATGGCACCCAAGGTCCTCTAATTTGTCGGCATTCGTTATCAATTTCATAATTGATGGAATTACTTCTGCAGTGAGTCCCTACTCACAATAAACACGGTTCCCCTTAAAAAAATTCACCTTTCTGAATAAAAATTTAAAATCATGCAATTTTTTTGTGATGAGCTAGGGAATGGATACCTGACAAAATCAGAACCAAAAATGATGAATTCGTCTTGTTAATCGATACGATACCAGTGGCACAATACTCTTCTACACTGTCCCAGAATCATCCAAGTTAAAATACATATCTGTGCGCGGTGATCGTAGAAAATAGAAGGTTTTGGCATCAGCCAGAGCGAATGCTAGTACACATGCACATGTGACATGAATGCATCTTACTACTGTATACATTACACCCGTCCGGATGGCGCTCAAGTTTACTTAATCCTAAATTATCGATTAGGCTCTATATCTTTAAGCCTACAGATGCACGTACAATTCGGAATGGATTTGGTTTAAAAAGCGTCATTATAGCCGTAACAAAACGTACTTGCCTGTGGCTTTTAAAGGGAACTACGGCCTGGAAGTGCCCGATTGAGCAACGCGTTTTGAATGATGTTTATCAGAAAGAGCATTTTAAAGTAGGAACACAACCATCCTTTAAAACTGTGCATTTTGTGATATTTCGTACTAGAACGACCCAGCCCAAAAAACCCAAGCTATAGCCTATCCATAGTTGAGATTTCAGTCGTAAAGTGCTCGTCTTTTGGGGACGTGTGAGAAACGACTTTTTTGTGGGGGGGGGGGGGGGAGATTTGCGTTGGACAGGAAAAACGGTGCCCCTTTAACGTTGTCTGTACAGGAATGCACCGAACCCTAGTTGTACCACCGTGCCGGATTTGTTTACAAAATCGAGGATGACTGGGTTTGTTAAAGCATTTACGACCATTTTACGGGAGTTATTTAGAGGGCGTGTCCAAACACTAATTTTATGACTGACAGTAGGCTTTTCCGATTGTTAAACTGTAAGACAGCACTAACAAAGAAAAATACAACTGCAGAAAGTATATACATGATAACATTATTGCTTTATTGACGTCATTTCTCATTGAAACACTCGTGTTTTTATTTGTCTGTCCCAATGTATTTCTTCGCAATATCGTCATTGAAATGTTGACTAGTCTTTAATCATCACTGTCTTCCTCGCTGACGTCTTCTTCATCTCGTTGGGACAGTCCGTCAAATTTCATCTGGTGTTTAGGCATAATTCTGCTGAGAGCCTTTTGTACGTCGATGCCCTTAATGATTTTTTTCTTCGAGATTGTCCTCAATATCTTGATGAGTATCGTTATCTTTCAGATGTAGGTTGCTTGACAGAAAATCCTTGTACTTGTTAAATGGATTCGCTTGACTGCCCAGAGGGTCTTCCTATCGGCCTTTTCCTTGGCCTGATCTTCACCCATACCCTCGTTGATGTACTTTTCATGTTTTTCGCTCCACATTTCATGAGTTGCTTCTTTGGACTCTTCCAATCAGTCTCGAAAAGTAGCATTGTCTTCTAATTCAGAACTAGACTCATCTTCATACGATATATCGTCGTCGTCTACACTGAAAAATTGCCTGGGTTAATTTACCAAAGAAATGGTGAAAACTGGAACTTCCCAAACTTGGGTTGTTCTATAACCAATTGTTTGGGTTAGAATTTCTGCTACATTCAACCAAAACTTGTGGTCATTCAAGACCAAATTTAATTTGGTCTTGTATGACTACAACTTTTGGTTGAATTTAACATAAATTATAACCCAAACAATTGGTTACTGCTCATTTCTTGCTCATTTGCTCAATCCTGCTATTTCACTTATTCTCTGCGCCCTTTAATGTTAACAATAAAGTACATGTATTTGCAATGATAACACGTTTGAGATGGGTCATCTTTTTTATAGTACTCTTCTTTATTTCAAAATATCTTACAATACTATACACGATGTTTTAATATCCACAATAGGAAAACAACTGGAAACATTTTAATCTAAATCGAGTCAGCAAACAGACATTAGGTAAATTACTGTAAATAAACATTAATAATTCAGTTGCATTGCGGTGAACAGTGTACTCAGGTAGTTATTTCACCCGACTTAAAGGGAAAATACAACATTTGCAAACATCAAAAAATAAAACTACCAAATCATTTTGAAATACCTTGCTGGACTGTTAGTAAATGACAGTGTAAAGCATCCTGTAAAATCATGGCACCTTATATACTGTCATTTTCAAGAAAAGTGGTAATTTTGTATCAATTTCCAACGCTGATCGGCCGATCAGCGTTGGAAAAAAACTGGCTTTTTTTTCAAATACTGGCCCCAGTTGACCATCGCACTTGTTTGCAATCGATTACACACCTATGAACGGGTACAAGCCAGCTAGACTGGTTCCCTGACCTTACAATTCCCCAATATATGTAAACTGCTCTGTTTCTTCTTAAATGGAGTCAGGGAACCAGACTACAGGAAAACGATTGTTTTTCTTGGTTTTTATAGCATTTTCGAACCCAAAACCTCAAAAAGTCAGTGTAACTTTATTTGCTATATATTTCCAACCCCCCAATTCCATCCATTTCTGAAAATTACAGCAAAAGCAAATGATGTATATTCCCTTTTACAGCCGGGAGACAAACATTGTTTACAATGATTCGTCCATGCATCTCTTGTGTTTCTCTTTGGAATTATAGCCTACTAGACACGTATCACAAAAGTAACCCCTGTTCACAAATGCCTTCATCGATGTGATCAGATCGTAGTGGTTATCGTGCAAATACAAATATACGGTGTGCCGTCCGACGGGCCCTTTGAAAATACACGCATTAAAATGATCGGCTGATAAAACCATAATGCGATAATCGGGAAGGACGTCCTGGAATTTCCGTATCTCTTCGAGACCGCACTGACCTTCTTCTACATCGGCCTTAGCGTGCAAATCTCTAGCGAGATATTCTTGCTCTTTGCGACTTATTTTGATTTGTTTTAGTTTTGGATGTTTTTCTTTGATGGCTATCCCAGTCACTATCGCCCTGGCACAACACAATTCCGTCTTGTTGTCTTTGATCTGAATGACGGACTTCTTATCCCGTAACATGTCGTGAATTTCTACCAGGCCGTTTTTGTTGCTTGTCTTTCCCCCCTTTTGCAACCGCATGTGTACGAAATGGATGTCTACCCTGTCATCCAATCGAAGATGTTGATGCGACTGCAACACTTGTTCTATGCGCGCCAGAAATCTCTCTACCGTTAATTCGTCTACGCGTAAAAACGGCAAGGAAATTGGATAATTCAAGTAACTGGATTGAAACACCAACCTGACTCTGTCTTCACCGGGGAGACCATCCGTCAACCTTGCCAAAATACTCTCAAAAATAGAACCCAGGCGTGGTAAAAACTCACGTGGTGATAACTCGTCTAAGTCCCTGAACTGAACTCTATAATCATAGGTCGTGGCTTGATATATCTTTACAAATTTCTCTTGGACTTCTACAATATCGTAATAATCTTCTGGTCTCTCCACCCGAATCCTCTTCCTCGGCGGCTGATTCTCCTCGTCCTCTTCAAAGTCTTCCTCGGCCGCTGCCCACGGATCATCATCATCGTCTGAGCCGTTGTTGTTACCTTGCTCGTCCGCTTGAGAATCTTGCTCAGCTGCCGTTGCCCTCGGATCATCATCATCATCCGAGTCGCCATCGTTGTTACCGTACCCGACCGCTTGAGAGTCTTGCTCAGTCTTTACCATCGGACCGTCCGAGGCGCCGTCGTTGCCGCACCCGTATTGATACGGTACGTCTTCTTCTTCATCTCGGTTGCCTTGTAAAGTCAGCTCGTGCAGCCGATTAAGAGCAAAAGCCATTTGATCAGCATTGAGTTCAACGATGTCCAGGATATTCCTGAATTCTTCGTACGTTTGACAATTTTGTATTTCTCGGTAGATATCCATGATTTACCGCTCGGTTTGTGCTGTGTGCATCTGATGAGAGTTTGTCTATCTATCTGTGAAGATCTATGGATAAATGTACTCGCTCACAGCTATACACGTTTACAGTCCATTGTCCGGTATTGATCCCCAAACAACATCGGATTAACCACCAATCCATAGTCCACTGACCACATTCAGAGTTTTATACGGCAACGCTTCCCTTCTATTATTGTCGGGGGATTATCCGACCAGCTGTACGTTCACAGGGACTCGCCCAATCGAGTGAAACTCATATCTCGGTCTAAGGCCAAAAAAAAACAAATACTCGGTCTCTGGTCAGACCAAAGTTCCGGAATTGATGCGGCGACGCGGTTTTTTTTTTTTTGCTTTGCTTATTTTGTTCAAGCTTGGATTGTACAGACAAAGTGGGGTACTATTTTGCTTTTATTGGTGTCCTCATGTACATTGGTGTCCTCCATAATTTGCCTTGGTGCCCTCGATCATTTGCCTTGGTGCAATTTCCCATTCTTGGTGCTCTTTGGTACAAACATTCGACGAGGTGCGGGAATAGAGGGCGCTGTTGGAGCTACCGCGGACCATTTTGGGGAAAAAAAGATTGACGCGCATGATTAAAATCGACGCGCGCGCTGACCAGAGACCGGCTATTTTTTTTTTGGCCTAAGGTCAAAATGTACTATAAAATTTCATATTTTTCCACACCTTATGCAATCTTTCCCATAGAAAAGGTCAAACTGTGCTCAAACATTTTAACCTAACCTATTCCATGTTCATCCCATCCATACAAAAGTTCAAACTGTACCGAAAATTCCCACCTCCTTTTAATTAATATTTATATCTGTATATACATAAATTTACATATTTATGTGACCTTTCATATTTCTTTAGAAAAGGTCAAAGTGTGCCATACAGTTCCCCTAAAACTACTAATATCAAACATTTTGAGCCGACGACACATGTTCTTGTCTCCTTTCAGGTGGAGATGGGCGTGTCTACGCCTTCAAGGGGCGGTACCTGTGGGGCATTAATGACCAAGGCGTGGTCCATGGCTACCCTAAGAAGATAGGTCTAGTGTACCGCGGAGCCCCCAGCAGTATCCACGCTGCCGTCACCACGTTTGCTTACAGTCAACCCAGGACTTACATATTCAAAGGTAAACAGATGTCGGCATGTAGCTGCTATTAAGCAGATATAGCTCAGCAACTACACCGTGCCTGACATTTTGACTGGTTATCGGTTTTTGCTGAACAATAGTTCTGTGTGTGGCACAACGTTTTGCTTGAGAAGACGAGTCAATGGCCAGCCTATAGCCTGTCATGTGATTTAATATATCAGGTGACTGTCAAGCATACATGTTTAATAGGGTCACTCTGGAAAGAAGTTGCATTTTCATTTTCGTGACACGCCTGCATGTTGCCATCTAAGACATTGCTCATGTGGACCATTGACGTCATCTGCATGTCCCTTACAGCCCAATTCGCTTCAAATTACACTCACAGAAGGCAAAAATCAAATGGTAAGCAATGCTTTTGGTAATAGCAGTTCTGTTAGATATGGCCACAATTTGGTCATACAACAAAACGCAAAGTACATTGAAAAGCAGAGTTAGCTGACAAAGGAGTTTATTCCAAAACGCGATAAAGCGCCATTTTGTTACCTTTTAGAATCCCGCTCTCTCCTGGCTGCCCAAAGTTAGTTTTGGCGGCTATTGTATAGTTAAACACAATTTACGAATACAATCAAGTGAAAAATGAAGTTAAAGAAACAGCTGTTATATTGATTTTATCTTGTCCTCCTCCTCCTCCTTCATTATTGTTGGATGAAGCCCTCCTCAAGCAGTTTCCATTCTCTTCTATTTGTCATTCTACTCCATGTTGCCGTGTTCATATATGTGGTGATTTCATCTCTCCATCTCCTGTTTTGTCTACCTCTTCTTCTTCTGCCTGTCCTTGGTTGCATTCTGTGAGTCTCTTGGTCCATCTGTTGTCTTGTCTTCTTGCTGGGAGCCCTGCCCATCTCCATTTCATTTCCTTGATCTTCTCTACTTTCTCTTTTAAAGTTTCATAAAAGTGAAATTTTAAAACTTTTTTTTCCAATGGACAAACCGCGTTTTGAAAACAAACTCTTAGCCTATTTAAAGTTTATGACATCTTTCCGTACATTCTTTTTGTTTGAACAAAGTGCTTTCATACCTGTCTTCCATCCTGTTTTCTCTTTAACCAAGTTTCCCGTTTTTCACGCATTTTCTATCCTACCTTTTGTTGTATTTCTCAGGAACAAAAATGTGGCGATTCACCAACTTCGTTCTAGACCCTGGCTACCCGAAGAAGACTGCCCCGCGCGGCGTACCGCAGAGCCCCAACGCTGCCTTCGGCTGGGGCGGTAATGGTAAAATATACATATTCAAGGTACGGCACTAAAAAGGAAGCAATTTTCAGTTGAAAAAGGTATCCACATTTGTAAAAGGTGGCATCGTGGTGTTACGGGTTTTTTCATAACCTTTTAATATAGTAAGTTGGATACTCGTACTATTTACAATCAATATAATATAGAACTTAAGGAACCTTTTGATATGCTTCCCCGCGTATACGGGAGATGATGCGGTCCGGATAAGTTGCTGATTACATAATCGGGCTAACTATCGGCAATAATACATCTAACATTAAAACGATGACATGCAGATAATCCGGGTCTGTCGAAATCGTTATTATTTCTAATGGTCCCGGGTTCTTATACTAATCATGTTTGCACTTCGCATGAATAGTCAATTTCAGCAATTAGTTCTGTTTGCAAAACGTTCTATATCGACTGCTGGCTATGTCAGCTTGTAGTTAGTTCAAATCAACGATGGTGAAGACATAACTGGAGTCTCTATGTAAACCATCGATTGGTGACTCAGTTCCCAGGATTTCTGATGAGTAGCCGAGTTCGGGCGGTAGATCTGTTCTTGACACGGGTATATTGTTCTCGCGCTCGAACGGCGGGAGCACGACCCACGAACACTGTACTCGGAACAGGATCACACGATCACACACCATGATCACACGATCACACACCATGATCGGTCAGGGTTTTGCAAGAACAATATACCGCGTCAAGAACAGACCGCCCGAACTCGGCCATTGAAATCAGTATCTATGGTTGATCGCATTGATCGAGTTACCTGGTACAGTGAAATCTTGATAAGTCAAACCTCAAGGGAACAGGTTCAAATTTTGACTTAAGCAGAGTTTTGAGTTAAGCTGGGTTGATCATTGTTATATTACTGAAGGGAATGTATTCTTTGTTTGACTTAACAGTTGCTTTGAGTTATCAGAGTTTGACTTGTGGAGATTTCACTGTATAGTGTCTATATTTGGTCCGTACTAAAATGTGATGTTAACCAATGCAAATCAACTTTCATTTTATCATCGTTGGGGTAACAGGGGGCGCGGTACTACGAATTCAACCCAGATCGGGAAAAGATCGTCGGTGCCCCTGAGAAGATCGCCACCAAGTGGCCGGGCGTGCCAACCACGCTGGACGGCGCCCTCCAGTGGCGCAACGGAAAGACCTACTTCTTCAAGGGCGACAGCTACTGGAGATTTCACGACGCTAAGCTCAAGGTGACGCGGGAGTATCCGCGCTCCAAGGCCCTGTTCTGGATGGGGTGTGGTGTGGAGGAGGGGCAGGTGCTACCGGAAAGACTGGAGATGCCAGAGGGCCCGGCAAAATGAACCCCATCAAATCTTACTGTCATGAGGTCAATGTAACCACAGAGCCGTTTGTGTCATCTTTACGTCCCCTTCTGATCTCAGAAATTCAGGGATCGATTTCTATGAAATTTAAAGTTTCGCAGAGACATTCATGCTTGGTACATAATTATGCAAAGCTGTAGTTAAAACAAACAAATAAGCACTTTTTGCAATAATGGTCATTAATGTTCCACGCTTTTGTCCGTGAATGAGTGCGTACCACGCTTTTGTCCGTGAATGAGTACATTTTCTTGCTTGTGAGTCGGTCAGTGGAAAACAACATATGTTACAGTACCCGTGTCACCAGTCTGACGTGATGTGCACACGCGTCGAATTTTGTGAATTCGGGGTCAAAACCTCAGCAAAAAGTTAGTGTCAAAATAGGCTCGGCATGAAAAGGAAAATTCCCCTTGGGTGATTCCGTGCCGGGCAGTTTTCTAGTTATGATAGGCCGACTAATAACTTTGCATGCAGCTAAGTTTTCCTTTCCTAGAGAATATTGTGACTTTTTCAGAATGCTTCTCAAGTTAAGTTGAACTGAACTAATGTTCTGCTGTAGTTATTTTTTTCGGGGGTTAGCTGAACTTAAGTTAATTTTTTTCGGGAGTGGTGGGTTCCCGTAGTCTATGTGTTATCCCCTTGCACAGCAAGGGTCTATGACTTGCAAGCAGATTCGGCGATTAAATTATGCAAAACAAGACTGTGTCTTGACCTCGAGATTCTGACAATTCAGCGGGCGCCTTCTATGGGGTCGTCCGCAACCCGTTGATGTATTACAAAAACATGACAGCCAAATTGACCAACCAAAAGCTTAGTCCCAATTTCTGATCGAATTGACGTCACAAATTTCTAAAGTCGACTCCGGTTGGCTGGCGCGGGGTTGCATAAAATTTGCATTGCTTGCATACATTAATAAGATGTTGGTTAGGCTCCGTTGGACATTGGGTGATACTCAGACTAGGTTTCCCGTCCGAAATCCACCAAATTCATGAGCACAAAAGTGCCGGCCAACCAACAATGGGGTCGTTTGGTGACATTACAACCATTTTTTGTGGAGTTTTTAGCGAGTGTAACTCGTGTCATTCATTGCAGGACAAATCTATAATTGGTGTGAGCGTAGCCTTATTATGGTGGTATGGACTTATAGACATTTTATGATTAGTTTGATGCATTAATAATATATATTTTTTTGTAGAACTTTTATACACGATTAATCTTTGTATATTAATTTTACTTTCAACAGAAAACCTAAATGGTAAAAAAAAACCGAGCAAATGCTTATTTCAGATAAATGTCGTTTTGAAGCGGCCAGATAGCCTTTGTCCATTTCCATTTTGTGGTTTTATCACATAATGATTTTGGTCAGAATCAACGAAATTGTGGGTTATTTGCGCTTGTATTGGGTCACTCCTCTCCAGTACTTATGCAGTTATTAATTCCAAATGTGCTTTTGTGAATATTTACAATCGTTAATCTGTAACAAGCGAATGACGATTGACGAACTTGAACATTCGAAATGAAAAATGCCGCAAACTTGTCTATACGCTTGTGTAATAGCGCCCTCTGTTGATTTTGCTGATGAATTTTCCATAGACATAAAGAACCTATTCCCCGTCTCATGATGTTGAACAGCGCCCTCAATAGCAAGCTATCGATGTACGACGACTCGTCAACTCGGTGTTGAACTAAACACCTATGCCACACGATATCTCAAAAACTATTTCGCCTAGAGGTTGAACATGACCGGCAACATAAGCATATTTACCATTGAGAGAAAACACACAGATTATCGGCGTCAATATAATTTTTAGTAATACGGACGAAACCCATCTAAAGTGAAGTCACAGTCTACAGAAAATCGGCTTAACTATTATAACACAAAAACAATCATACCTAGCCTATTACGTTCCACGATAACTCAAAAACCATTAGTTTTATTGGATTGAAATGTTGCCTAGATGATAAGCATAACTGGCAACACAAGCCTGTTTAACATTAAGAGAAAATATAGAGTTTATCGGCGTCAATATAATTTTTGTGACACAGACAAAACTGCCAAAATGAAGTCGCGGTGTCCAGAAAATCGGCCTTATACAAAAACTATTAATTTTATTGGAGTGAAATTTTCCTATGGGTTGAGCATGACTGGCAACACAAGCATGTTAAATATTGAGAGAAAACATAGTTTATCGGAGTCAATATAATTTTTTAGGAACATGGACAAAACCCATCCAAAGTGAAGTCACGGTCTAGAGAAAATCTGTCTATAGGCCTACAGAAAAAACAATCACACACGATAACTCAAACACTTTTATTTTATTGGATTGAAATTTTGTCTAGATGTTAAGCATGACTGACACTACAAGCATGTTAAATATTTGGAGAAAATATAAAGATTATCGGCGTCAAAATATATATGTTTGTAACACTGACAAAACCCATCCGAAGTGAAGTCACGGTCTACAGAAAATCTGCCTAACTATGGCGTACGGGGAGTGAGCTCTCTATTCTTTTTTTATTTATAACTATATGATTGTAAAACCCCTTTGTTGATTATAAAACTTGTAAAGAGAATTAGATATAAAATATTTACCAAATAACGAAAGAATATCAGTCAGTACAGTGGCGGATCCAGGTTTGGCTCGAGTGAAGGGGGGGGGGGCTGGGTGTAAAGGAGGAGGGGGTTTAGCCCCTATCCCCCGTCCTTAGCTTCCTTCACTGCAATTATGTATTTCCCTTTGGGGGGGGGGGGCTACGAAAACAACAAAAATCTACCTCATTTGGAGCATGGAATACACGCCTTTATAAGAAAGATTGACGCAGTATTTTCCTTGCTTTGTCGTTGCCGAATGTTCCACTCTGTTCGAGTCAACTTCGCTTGGAGTTCGCATCAATATTTATGACGTTAAGTCCTATATTACTTCTTTTTTATTTCTCGGGGGAAGCTACGTGAGTCTCACCATTAATCACACTGATTGCCTTGTCCGTAATGGAACCCCATTCTTTATGCCAGTTCTTGGCCATCGTATATTATGATCATTTATTTCTGAGTGGAACTGAGCAAGGAACAGCCTAAGTTACAACTCCTTCAACTTCAAAGGTTCCATGTCTGTTACCGCGGTCGTAAAACGGCTGGATTCGCGACCGCAGCTGATGACTTATTAGAACTTGTGTGTGTTGTCTAGTTACGCGTTGCCATGGAGGAATATTTCTCCATGGTTGGATGATTCCCAAGTTAACTGCTTGGGCTAAGATAATTAAAAGGGGTGCATTGTCATTTTCTCCCGTGTTGCTGCCATGGCTTTTAATTTGGCTTCGCCTTCTTGAAGTAAAAAGGGTTAGATGATTGATATTCTTGGTTGAATGCATAGCAGTTCTTGCTTGATTACTTTATGTATAATTAAAATTTCTTGCCTGTATGATAATCTCTGTGTATGTTTTGGCCAGCCGAGCAGCTACGGTGAACGTGCTTTTGACGTCCAAGTTTCCAACGCGGATACTAGTGATGTTGGAGAACAAATTCCCTCACCTTCCTCCGAAATGTAGGTTTTTCTCTCCCTACCTAATTTCTAGGGTATGGCCTTCTCGGAAAATTCACCCGTGAAAATATATTTTAAAATGCGGGAGGAAAAAGTCCCTATTGTGAAATACTGGCACTGTTGATTCCCAGTACTCCTCACACTTCAAAGAGCGCAAAAAGGCTAAAGAGGCAAAAGCAGAAAATGGCATTGCTGTAGCTCTGATATTCTTGTAAATTGTGTTCTTTCGTAAACAAAAAAGGTTGTTCGCTTGTTGGTTATTGGTTGTTTGGGTTGATTGATTGTTTGTGAGTGTGTTTTTTGGGTTTTTTTTATGGGGGGGGGGGCTGCAAATAAGCGTTGCATCGTTGCAAGACCCCTGTAAAGCCACGCCCCATCTTTGGTGAAAAAACGGTGGTAAATAATATCACGTCATAAAAATTAGCATACAGCCGACTGCAGCTATGATTGCACTTTTTCTCACGGGTTATTGTGGTTGTGTCATGTTGTTCACATTTTTCTTCTAATTCTAAACCCTCTCGAAATTCCAGGGCAGCTCTTTTGCCGCGGTAGCTAATCTGCGGTTAGACGTTTCGGTAAACCATGGGTAAACCATGGGCGAATTTACGAGGGCCTATCGATCGCAAGTGAAGCTCTGAGGGGGGATGAAAACAAACTATTCCAAGGTACTTTTCATCCAGAACGTCAAGAAATGTAAAGTACATGTATTACAAAACCCAACTATTCCTAATTTGTATTCTTCTATATGTAATTGACATCATGTTTGCATAATGCGTAGGCTTACCTGATATTGTGGAGCTGTAGTAGAAAGCTATTCAGTCCTCATATTATAACTATGTGATTATAATCTTTGGACTTTCTACCCTAACGAAATTCCAGAGAAGCAGATGTTCATTATATCAAGGCAATTCAACTCTAAAGAGCTATAGGGGTCATGTATTCCGATCAGTTTTCCCCCTGGTATTTGGTTGTATATTGGTTTTTTATTGCTCTCCCCTTTTAGAGTCGGTGCGACACCTGCCAGAATGGAATAGTCCAAAGGTGCGGTGAGATACGATAACAAAAACAAGCCTGCACGTGGTGTTTTTCCCAGAACGTATAGTTCACGCCATAAACGTTTACTTTCGATTTTGGTTTAATTTAACCATAATTAGTGGTAAGTTTCAAAAATTAGTGAAAACATTTCATTATAAAAAAAACCCGGATAGACAATTTAAATTGTGTCATAATTGTCTTCATGTGCTTCAGCATACATGAACTACATGCTATAAATATTTGTGCAAATTGAATAAGCGCACAGTGGTGTGCATTATGCGTAACACGCATAGCAAGTGCAGTGTACGTAAATGTATGTGGAAAAATCAGCTGTTCGATTGCGTGCACTGTCGAGCTGTCATCGCACTGCACACATTGCAACACTTCTGAAGTGGGCCGTCAAATGGTCAGATCGCACTCGCTGACATCCCTTTTCACAGCCCCTTTCCAACTACAGAAGTTTTCCGCAATTTTAGTCATCTAAAAAAGACAGAAACATCACAGGATTGCGAAGTAACAAATCGCCTTCGACATGCCGGGGCACAAGTGTCGGTTTCACGAGAAGGTAGCGCGGCAGTACATCTGTCCGATGTGTCGCCTGCCGATGAACTCCCCGGTACAGATCACCACGTGCGGTCATCATTACTGCGACACCTGTCTGCAAGAATATCTCAGGTAGGATTTCTGTTTCTCGATGGGGGTTTGGTTCGGGTATTTGATGCATGATCTTTTTGTTTCGTTTTTAAGGATTGATTTTAAGTAAGGTAGTTTTTTATGTATCTTTTTTGGATTCATATTGATATTGATGTTTATAATTATTTTGGGGAAGGGTTGGGAAAATAGACTTTTGGAAAAATCGTCCTGATATGATGTTGATGCCGTATTGTGGTTTGGTATGAAATCTGTGGGGGTCGTGACATTTTTAAAGGTATTTTTAAAGGTAAATTGGGAGTGTTTCTCGGTCGCAAAGTCATTTAAAAAAAATATATTTGCAAAGACTGATCATCATTGAGCAATATGACAAATAATCTGGTGTCGGGATAGTACATTATGCTTTCCATCTGTAATACTGATACTCGTTTTGAAGTACCGGTTCCTCTCTTTAGGCAATTGTGTAGTTACGTGTCCCTCTTTAGTTTTTGTCAAATTCGAGTGGAGGATGTTTTTATCTTTCCAAAATGACTTGTTCAACCCCTTGCAGAGTCTTCTTTAGTTCTAATGACACCATTTTATGTCATTTTGAACAGTTTCTTGCGTTTATAATAATAGAAAATGCGATTTTCGTACGCGTGTTACGGTTGGTGCCATGCGAATCACCACATTTTTGTGTCGCAGTAAATTCGTGTTGCATTTTGTCGTCTTCATCGACAAAAATTTCCCTAAAAAAAATCAAAACCCAGGCCTCTACCGATACACTTATTGGTTTTCAATGTTGCTAACTATGTTGGTAAGTCAAATAACCTAAAAGTGGATTTTTGTTCTCTTATTGGAACAGGGCCCGTAACTACACATCACCCATATTTACATATGAAATCTAGACGCATCCCCCGCAATATTTGTAATTCTGTTTTCCATGGCTGGTTGCTTTCTTTTTCTGCAGGAATTTGCTCATTTCTCGAACAGAAAAGGTGTTTCCTTTATACATTGCTGGTGTGCGGCACCACTGTATTTATTGTCATTTTTCGTTTTTTTTTTCAATTCGGTCACAGAGTGTGATCCCATACATGCAAGCGGTGATGTCAAAATAAGTGTCAAGATTTTGTAGAGCTCTCGCTGTTCAGTCAGATTTTGTGGCATTCATATCAATTGTGTAGTTTTTACAATATGGTGAAGTCACAGGTCAGTGGCAA